AGATAGCAGATGGTCAATATATGCAACAAGCAAAATTTTGTGGCTCTAAAGAGCATTGTGATTCAATTACTCCTCTGAACATTTAAGGAGCATTGATGACTTTTCACTCACTATTGAAAGTATCCCATATGAGGTTTCTCTCAGTGATTGGCCTGTAAGATTACAATAGAGATGAACAATCCTATTTTCTATTGATGTAGCTATAGCAGCTGAAGGTATTGCTAATAGATTTGTGATGATGAGAGTGTAAACAGACCTCCTGTTCTGCAAGTTGTATAGAATCTGGCATTACAGTTATGTGCAGTCCGTATACTTGAGAATGTTAATAAACAACTTTCCCCATGGTATAACCCCTGTTTTCACTGCATTTGATGTCAGTGCCCTGCATCTTGTACATACATTTTTCTAATTTGGGGAGGGGAAGGAAAGTAGCAAAATGCTGAATTAAGGATACAGGTTTACCCATTGTAACAATGATATGTTCAAGACACTATGTCAAAAACAAACTTTACAACTTGGGGCGGGGAGGGAGGAGTTGGGAAGGTGGGTAGGGAAGGGCTGGTAGGGGAAAAACAAAGGAGGAGGTAACAATGCTCGATAGGAAATGTACTCATTACCTTACTCATGTAACTATAACCTATCTGTACACTAATTTTACAATAAAAACATAAAAAAGTTGTAAAACAAAGAATCTTCTTCAAAAAGCACCCTGAAAAGAGATAGTTGTATAATAAAGTGCCAAAGGGTAAGACCACAGCACTATGTTAGAAATATTTAGGGTAGAACCAGTTACTTAGCACACTCTTTTTCTAGCTGCAGAAGAGCCCTGGCAAAACAAAACATAGGCCACAGAAGGTGTCTGCCAGTTTCATTTAACTTTGACAGGCCTTAGCCGAAGTACAGCCATTCTGTACTTAGACTCCATTTTGAAGACCTTTACCGGAAGTATCCCTTATGAAGGCCTTTACTGAAAGTAAGCATTGTAAAGACCTTTACTGACATATGAGCTCAGGTCCCTGGAATAACTGCATGACAGAAACTGCTCTGACCAGTAACTCCTTAGCAACAGTCAGTCAGTAACTAGTAGGAAAGCAAAGCTCCAGATGTTTCTTAAGATAGCATAGTTAACGTATTTTGCTGCTTAGCTGTTTAGCCTGCACACTTTAGCCAATAAGATTGTTACAAGATTTACTTACTAAGTATTAACCAATCATGTAACCGCTAAGTTGGAAACCCCCCTACCCTTGCTGTAACCACAATAAAAACCCTGCCAAACTGGAAGTCAGGGCTCTCAACTCTGACCTGCTGACCTGTTCCATCAGTGACGGTTTTGAGTACAGGCTTGAGCTTGCAATAAACGACTCTCATGTGCTTGCATTAGAATCGGCTCCTTGATAGTCTTTGGGGATCCTTATCTGGACACAACAACTTGTGTGACTCTGTCAGTTGGTCTCAGGAGGGAATACAAGGCACAGCACATAAGATCACCTCGGATAGCAACCACACCAGCCTGGCTCACCCTCACTGCAGGGCCCGCAGCCCCTGCCATAATTGTCCCTCTGTAAACATTATCAAAACAGTCTACAAAAATGCCATAAGAGGGCAGCAGCATTTCAGTAAGGGTCTTGAAAAGATTTAAAAGATTCCAGACCCTCAGACACTAGAATACTGAAACATTTTGAGATGGAGAGACAGTTTTAGTGTACTTTATGTTCTAATGTACTTGTGGTTTCCTCAGTAATTATAAAGTTGGTTCTGATCACTTTATAGCCTTCCTGCCTCCCTCTTTCCTTTTCTCCCTGTCTTCTTCCTTCTCCCCATTCATATCTTCTTTCTCCCCTCCTTTCCTTCCTCTCTCCCTTCTCTTATCCCTTCTTTTCTCTCTCCTTCCTTTCCTTCCTTCCATTTTTTGAAATGGTATGATGACTTTTAAAGTTCTTTTAAAAATAAGTTTAATGTTATTTTATCAACATATAATAATTGTACATATTATGGGACAGAGTGTGATATTTTCAGACATGTATATACTACATAATGGCCAATCAAGGTAATGAGCATTCCAGTTATTTCTGATATAATTTCTCTCTAGTAAAACATTCAAAATCCTTTCGTGTAGCTATCTTGAAATATACATTACTGCAGCCAGCCTGTTGCTCTTTAGAACACCAGAATTTACTTCTCCTGGCTAATTATAATTGATTGTGATTTGTACCTAATAAATAACAGCTTTCATCTACCTCCCCTCCCTGCCTACTTTCCACAGACTCTGCAGGCTGTGGTAACCATTATTTTACTCCCAGCTGTTAGGAGACTAACTTTTTTACATTCATTGTACTGAGTAAGATCTTTTCATACTTATCTTTCTTTGCCCGGGTTTTCTCTTGACATTCTTCTCCAGGCTCCTCTCTCATAGTTCATCTTCTCTAATTCTTTATCTGCATAAACCTGTGGACAACAAAATGCCAACTCAACTCAAAATGCCAAGAATAAGAAATCTCTATTTTGCCTCTACAATCTACCAGAACAACTTTAGATACACAGTAGTTGAAAAATAGTAATTTGATCTTGATATAATTTAAATGTACTGGGATAAATCTGGTTTAAATTAGTATTTTCTTTGAATGCAAAACTGTGATTACCACTTAGAAATAACTAGTTTTTAAAAACCTTAAAATCACAGCATAGGGTAGAATTACTTTTACTTTACTTAACCTAAGTTTGTCTACTGAAATGTCACAGTTAGTGAAAGTACTAATATGTTTATGTTCACATCTCTTAATTTAAGCACAATTCATAGTGTCATTTAAAAAAACAATGTACTAGCCTCTGGAGCTCTATCTTGAGAAAGTCAGCACATGGAGCTGTGTTTTATTCTGGGGGATGTGAGCATGCCCAGAGTCCTCTTCTGTCCTGTGGCTATGGTTACTCTAAGAAAGAAAAGCCAACTTGCGTTACAAAGAGTGAGATTGAGTGGCTTTTCATAAAGGGATTGCTTGTCCCAGTGGATTCATCTTTGATTTCTACCACTGGAGATTGACTCCTGCGTATGTATGTTTATGAGACCACCAAGGTTTCAGTGATCCAGCAAATGATTCACAGAACTAAATGCATAGTCTTTACAACTGAAAAGTACAAAGCCCAGTCAGCAACCAGAAAAGGCACTTCATGTAAGAAATAAGGAAAACAGACTGGAACCCTGGTGACTCCTACTCCCTCCTACCCTCTTGTCTATGCCCACAAATATGCTCAGTTAGTTCCTCTAGCAATAAGTGTGACAACCCCCATAAATGATGACCATCAGGGCTCAAGCCTGGGCCTGTGAGTCTAGGATATATTGTACGTGTGTGTGTGTGTGTGTGTGTGTGTGCGTGCATGAATTCGTGAAAATGCATGCACAACTCCTGGGTCTTGAACTTGGCATCTGGGCACTGTCTTTGAGCTTTTCTGGATCAAGGATAACACTCTACCACTGAGCCATAGCTCCACTTCCAGAGTCTCACATGCTTTCCTGCTCAGGCTGCCTTCAAGCTGTGATTCTCAGATCTCAGCCTCCTAAGTAGCTAGGATTACAGGCACCAACCTTTGGTTTGCCCCACTGTTTTAGTTTGTTTTTTAAATTTAGGACATCATACTTGCTCAGCTGGTGTCTGGCTCTAGGATTATTATGAAGAGACAAGATTTGGGGGCATCTTATCTGTAGAATATACCCAAAATCAAGATTCCTATAGGATTCTCATAGAATAAGTATTTGGCATAAACCACATTGTTCAAACAGCTTAGGCAGTACGAAGTCACTCTCATCAGTTCTGAGGGGAATGACAACTCTCCGTAAGTGTCAGTTTCGAGACATGAGCCAAGAGCCAACCTTATCATAGCATTTCATGGCCAACTCAAGCCTGAAATTCTTTCTGTTGTTCTGCACTGGCACATGAGCCTTGTCTTTGGCATGTGTTTTCTTTTTTTCCTTTTCAGTCTTTTTCACCTTAGAGCTTCCATGCAATCTTTTAAGTTATTTGGATATAATAAGCTGACTAGATTCCCTCAGAATCTTAGGTGAACATACTTCGAAAAAGCCTGTGTTGAGGGGAACAGAACACACCACACATAGTGGGCATGATGATGCAAGCCTGTGATCTCAGCACTGGAGGTGCAGAGACAGAGGGATCATGAGTGAAGGCCAACCTGAGCTACAGAGGCCAGGCTGGTCTGTATAGCAGGACTGTGTCTCAAAAACAAAAACTAAACTTAAACAAAACAGACCAACCACTGTATTCTTCTGAAGTAAAGATGACCCTGCTTGAAAGGAGGAGACAAACATGTGTATTAGGGATATGATTTGTATTCAGTGTGAAAATCGCCCTTTCCTACAAATGCCTTATAAAGTATGTTGCTCTTCATTGGAAGGAAATAGTTTTGAGAAACCTAGACTGTCAATTTCCCCACAATAAAGTAAATCTATCTTCTCTCTTGGTTTAGTATTTCTACCAGGAGGTAACACTAAATAGTAAAAGCTATAACTTAACACAGTACTTTAGAAAAGTGTTTCATCAACATGCAATGCTTACATTTGATCTTTAAACGGCAAAGGCATGAAGGCTAATCAGTGACAGCTGCAGTCAGGGCCCTGTGTCCTTTATCCTCAGTGGCCCGAGGCTGAGGATCATCCTAGGAACAGAATTATGAGTTCTTGGGTTTCTAGGTTCCTAACATGGTTAGAGATGAGGGAAAGGGCTTAGGGAATGAACAACTGTCTCAAAGCAAGCCTTTAAGAGAAGAATGTTGAAGGAGGTACTGAAGGAGTTTAAACTACATTGGGAAGAAGGAAAGCTTAGACAATAGTAACCAGTCCCAGGACTAAGAAGAGGTCAACACATCTGAATGAACAGTAGTGGTTTACTGAAGGAAGCCAGCCTGTGTCAGTTATGTGACAGAACAAGGCATTGCTGTGATGCAGAGGCAATTTCCAGCAGATTCATTGATCCTTTCTTCCTTCCTTCCAGGGATTCCCAGGAAACACCAATGCAGACAGTGTGGTGCACTGTAGTCTCCAGCTGCCTTTTGAAACCAGGTTCCTGCGCTTCCTCCCTTTGGCCTGGAACCCCAAGGGGAGGATTGGGATGCGTGTTGAAGTGTATGGATGTGCATATCGTAAGTAGGGTTGCCACTACCTGACGTTCAGCATACATGTATTGTGAAAATCAAGCTGTAACTGTTGCGGCCTTTCAGCCTGTCCATCTATTCAAGTAGAGCCACTCTTTATGGGAAATCCTGGTGATGCTGACTTTATTAATTTTGTTCTTGAGATCCTAGAATAAAAATGCAGACAAATAATAATCATGAATACAAAACAACCACAGGACATAGTTGAGTTTTAGTGGTTTTGTACACCGTTTGTTTTTATCAGTAGTAGGAATAATTGTTCTAGCACAGCACTTTAATTTCTTAATTTTGACAATATGGTTGATAAACAGTTATTGTCTTTCTTCTTAGTTTGTATTTTATATTCCTTATTTATATGAAGGATAATATCCAAATTGTTTATATTGGCAAACAGTGGCTTTCAAATACTGATTCTTTTTTTAGTTACATTGCATTACTTTCCATTTACAATGTCAGTCAATATGTATTTTTAGCACAGTATATGGTCATGGTTTCCTTCCTTGCCTTATGCATTTTTATTCTTCAAGGCTTGTGTACCATTTCAAGACTAAGGCAGAGGCTAGGGGACTATTCTCTCAGACTCTTCCTTTAGGAAGCCCCCCAGTATTTGTTGGTGTTCCAAGGACTTGCCATGTATTTCGCTCTAAAGTTTTCTCTCATTGGTTTGTCATTCAACAACACCTCTTGTCTTATGAACTCCAGGTCACTCTCTCAGTGAAGCTGGCGTTCTAAAATGCCAAACCCTTTCCCAACCCAGTCTCCATTTCCTTAGGTTGGTTTTCCTCTTGTAGGCCTCTTCTGTCTCTTCTTTTCTGCCTTCTTTGACTTGCAAGGTTTGTGTTCAATATCATTCTCTAGCAATCCTACAACATCGAGTTCTATTTCCATCAGCTATCATAATTACATTGTACTTTTTCTTCATTAATGTATTTATTAATAAGCAAGGAATGAAAGGAGGAAGTGAATGAATTTTTAGAAGCAGGAAGCCCATAGGTACAGAAACGAGCCTCTTGTAGCCCACTAGATAGCCAGTCATGAGATGGCATCTCTGCCCTGTTTCAAATAAGAGATAAAGAATAATATGAATTGTAATTGCTTGTCATATGTTTCTTTATTTGTTTTAGTTACCATCAAGGGAACTCAAACCTGTGTTTATTTTCTCTCAAATAAATAGTGTCTTACCACCTGAGTTTCCTCCAGTTTGGCATTTATTGGAAATAAAACCTTATGGACTTTTTCTGCCTGGGCTGGCTCTGAACCATGATAGGTAACAAGCCACCAGAATCCCTGTTGTTGTTGTTGTTGCTCTTCCTCCTCCTCCTCCTCCTCCTCTTCCTCCTCCTCCTCCTCCTCTTCTTCTTCTTCTTCTTTTCTTTTTCTTCTTCCTTTTTATTTTTTAAAAATGTTGACTATTACAGTAAAATCTTTAGATTTAATAGAATCCATAAGTGTCAATATTCATAACCTTTTAATAATATGTTAATATTTTTTCTATAAAAATGAAGAAAGCTTGCCTGGGTGCCAGTGGCTCATGTCTGTAATTCTAGCTACTCAAAGAGGCTAAAATCTGAGGATCGAGGTTCAAAGCCACCCAGGCAGGAAAGTTTGTTTGACTCTTATTAATCACCAAAAAGCCAGAAGTGGAGCTATGGCTCTGGTGGTAGAGCACTAGCTTTGAGCTGGAAAGTTCAGAGACAGTATCTAGGTCCTGAGCTCAATTCCCAGGGCTGGCACAAAAAAATGAAAAGAGGACATATTTGAGATGGTGAAGGAAGGTGCTGAGAAAAGGCTTCATGAAGGAACTCCTTCTTTCCAGTTCTGCTCCCGCTTTCAGAATACTCGAGTTTAGTCAATGTACCATCAAGAGCACAGTAAAACAGATGAAAGCATTAATGATTTCTCCCACGAACAAGAACAGGGAGGCTAATTCTGACCTTTAGTCTTTTGTAGAATCCATCTGCTTTGTGGAAAAGTAGAAAGTAATCAGACTAGATTAGAAAAAGTCAGACTCTATTCAGTACACCACCTACTTTTGGAATCTTTACTCTGTAAAATTAGGTAAATGCATGAGGCTGATGCCCGTGCCTGTCTTCCAGGCCAAGCGCCCTGGTGATGGATGCAGAGTCTTCAGAGCCAGGGTAGACACAGGAACAGGCTTGATTCCCAGGGTGGAATCTCATGCCTCATCATATGTCAGTTGAGGTCATTTATATTCTCTTGTTCAATTTTTGTTGGGCACATGTATCTAGAAATTTATTTCTCTTGGTGTTTCTAACTTATTTGAATATAATTGTTCAAAAATATTACTACTGATCCTCTGGGTTTTAGTGGTAGTAGTTATATCATTTTTATTTATGATTTTACTAATTTGTGTCCTTCTCATCTTTATTTTGATTAGCGTTACTATGGGGTTGTTAATATTGTTTATGTTGTTGAAGAACCAATTCCTCTTTAGTTCTTTGCTCTATTCTTTCAGTCTCATTTTCATTAATTTCTATATTGGTCATTACTATTTGTTTCCAACTACTAATTTTGTTTGGCTTGTTTTTATTTTCCTACAACCTTGAGCTGCATCATTGGTAATTCATAACACAGCTCTATGATTTTTTTAGTGTAGACCTCATAACTATAATCTTCCTCTTAAATATGCCTTTGTTGTCTCTCAAATATTATATAGTAAGTTGTGTTTTTATTTTCATTTAATTCTAAGAGTTTTAAAATTTCCTCTCTGATTTCTCAAATGACCCAGATTGTTCAAAAGTATATTGCTCAAACTCCATGATTTGCAGTTTCTTGATACTGTCTCTCTTGATACTGATTTATAATTTTATTCCATTGTTATATGATAAGATAAAAGAAATTATTTCAATTTTTATTTATTAAGACTTATCTATAAGAATGTGGATTGTACAGTCATTGGCTGGAATGTATGTTAAATACATAGTACTGGTTACTTCTGAAGTGTCTTTGTTTTGTTTTGATGGACTGGATGATCAGTCTGTAGATGAGAGTCAATATTGAATCCATATACTGTTATTTCATCTGGATTCAGTAGTGTATATTTTACAAACTTGGATGCTGCAACATTCAGAGCATATGTATTTACATATGTATTTCTCAGAATAATTTGAAATTGAATTCAACTCCAGAACAGAGGTATAGCTACTCTTACTTTCCCTCAGATTCTGTTTGCTTGGAATGTACCATTTCCCATCCTTTAACTTTCTGTGTGGATATGTGCCTTTGCCAATGAATCAAATTACTTATAGACACCAGACAGTTGGATTATGGTTTTTGATCCAGCCTGAATTTTTATGTTTTATTTTTTGCTGATCCTGGGGCATGAACTCAGGGCCTGTCCTTGAGCTCACTTTCCTTGAGCTTTTTTTGCTCAAAGCTAGTGCTCTACCACTTGAGCCACAGCTTCATTTCAGGCTTTTTGGTGGTGGCTTGCAGATAAGAGTGTCATGGACTATGCTGCTTGGGTTGGCTTTGATCTTCACATCTCAGCCTCCTGAGGAGGTAGGATTACACATATGAACCACCAGTGCACTGCTTCCAGTCTGCATCTTTTCATTGTTTAAGGATTTATGATTAGTATTGGTAAGTATCTACACAATTCTGCTTCCATGTTAACACCTTGCTGGTTGTCTGTTAGTGTTCTTTCCTACTTCTCATTGTGTATTCATTCTTCCAGTGAAGTCTATTCTTTCCCAAGCTTTCTAGTTGTACATGTCTTTCTTCCGCTTTGCATGTAGTATTAAGTACTGTGTATTAAGTATTAGGTACTGCCTGTGATGGGAGGTTGGGTTTCATGAATTGCTTTACCTTTGCTCTACTGGAGAGCATTTATTTGTCTCTCAGTTTTGAAGGATACATTTGCTGGGTATATGAGTGTTGGTTGGTAATTATTTCTAATATGAGAGATCTACTTTTATTCTGGCAGGTTTCTCATTTTAGTTAGCCGGGAACTTTTTTTCTTGTAGCTTTTACCATGTTTCTTTGTTTCTAATGTGAAGAGAATCTTTTATTGTCATGACTGTTTGGGGGTCTAAATGCTTCATGATCTTGAGTGTTCATCTCTTTCCCCGGATCTGTGCGTTTTTCTGCTATCATCTTAGTGAATATTTTTTCTATAGCTTTCAATGTATCCCCTCCTCATCTATGTCCCAGATAGCTTCAAAGGATGCTCATGATTATTTTTCATTACTCCTACCGAATGCACTAATTCTTCCATCTTGCCTTCAATCTTTGATATTCTTTATTTTGTATAGTTTTCTTTAATTTTTATTTTTTATTAAAGTAGTTGTACAGAGGGTTTCAAATCAACATACCAGTTTATGAGTATAATGCAGATTCTTACTGTGTTTTTAATCTGTCCTTAATGAGATTACAGGCATGCAATAGTGTACCCAGCTACTTATATTCTTTCTTTCACTAAATCCAGTGTTTGGTGGTGTTTCCTATTCATTTTTAAACTTTTGAGTTATTTAACTTTTCATTTCCAAGATTGCAATTTTTTTTCAGAATCTGTTTCATTGCTGAATTTCAAATCTAAGTTGCTAAATTTCTTACCCAATTCTTGAATTGGCTTCTTTGTACCATTCATCTGTTTATTTGGGTCATTTTAGAGGGTTTTGGTCATTTTGAATCCTTTTGAATGCTTTTGAATTCTTCATCTGGAAATTCAAACACTTAAAAATCATGGAATTGAGTTATAAAAGATGTATGAATTTTTTCAGGAGGCATATTGCTTTATCATATTTTTGGTTTAGTTGAGGGTCTTCTTGATGAGAAGTTTTGTTTTAACAGCTCAATTCTAAGTACTACTTGAAGTGGAGAAAACAAATCACTTTAACAGCAACATCAAAACAATCCAGGTTTAAAAAAAAATCCAGGTATAGAAATACAACTAAAATTCATCAAACTTGATTTTTTTGTCCCACCAGTAATCAGAGAAAAGAAAATGGCAATAAAGGTAGAACCAA